CATAGCGAGGGCGGGTGAGGGCTACGATGCCCTCGATGTGGCTCATGAGGGCTGGTGAGCCCTCACTAGAGGCTCGAGGGTCATTGGCCCTCACCTTGGGCCCGGCAGTGAAAGAAAAAAAAGAAAAGAAAAATCAATAAAAATTCTAATTTTTTTTAAAAATACAAAAAATGTCGACGTTGTCGCTGGACATGCCATGTATGGCAGCCACACTGACTATACCACAACATGAGCGATTTTCGGCCAAAATTAGTTAGAATGACTATATTGAGAATTTGTTAAAATGTTGAGGACGGGTGCGTTCGTTTCACGGAAAATGAATGATTTGAAAAACATTTTCCGAAAAATGGTTGCTTATATCGTTTAGAAAACATAAAATGTTTTCATTATCGATAACAATCTATGCCTAACTATTTTTGTAGGTGATGAAAAAATTTTCCATTTGTTTTTTTCTGTAAGCGATTATTTTTTGGAAAGCGTTTTCCAAATCAATTATTTTTCACAAAATGAACGCACCATTTTAGCAAATCATCAAAATGTTTAGAATTAAATTAGCACAATTAAAAAATTTATAACTAAATTGAAAAATTGTCAAAAGTTTAGAACTAAATTGGCATAATTGAAAGATTTATGATTGAATTGGCCGCTTTACATAGATTTAGGACTTTGTGGATAATTTCCTTTGCATTTCTAGCCAACTTTTATCTTTGTGTATAATAATTTCTCGTTGACAAAAAGCCTATTTCATTACTCGTTACCGACATATATCCTATACTTAGAAAAAGCGAAATGAAACACGAGCAATTCAATCAACCTAATGAAGTGGCAGATGCAAAACAAGGGATCTTTGCAAACGAAACACCTACGTTCCTAAATTGCACTATCTAATCATTGGAAAATGCAAGAGGTAATGCACAAAATCAGTTTAAGAGTAAACTCCCCATAGCAATGACAGCAAATTGCGATGCGAGGCATTGAAAGATCTGTCAAGTCGCTTACCGCCTATTCCCAGGTCAAACGCTAAGCTGGTCGAAAAAAAAGAAATCAATGAATTCGAAGCAGGCTGATAAATGTTCGATCAATTATTGTTGGCAATAATTGATTTCCTATTTTTACCTTTGTCTGGCTACTCAAGAACATTATAGAAAACTATTCACCAGATTCTTAATAGGGGAGTATACCCTTTTACCATATTGAATTTGCCCCCGAAAACGAACATTTTTGCTACTTATCACTGTCCATCGTTAGTGTGCTTTATAAGCATACCCTTTTCAAGTTTCGTTTTTCGACTGTCTTTTCGTTTATGGCGTTCTGATCTCACCAAGCACGCCGATTCAAATTTCACTATTTCCTGAACATATTCAAATCGCTTTAATTATCGTCGTCGCGTGTTAGAATTGCTTTTTTCAACGACGATGAACAGTAAAACATTCTTTCGATTTTCACGGACCATATGGTGCCTTCCACCAACATCTCGATGTAAAATGCTTAACAGTCTTGATTGAAATTTGAATCAATCAACGAAATGACAGAGAAATATGCATATCGTTGTCATTTTTCAACGGGACACGATCCATATAATGCAACAGAGTGGGCCTCCTCAGGAACATTATTCTTAGTTCGCCTGTGATTTCAATCTGATAGCTGGAAAGTAGGAAAGCTACAAAAACCCTAGTATCCTCATTCTCAACTAGCTGTCGTTTCATACATACATATATATATATATAGAAAATTTTCTTATTAAAATCTGAATATCTGTGGGTCCGAAAAGCAAACGTTTTGACTTTGGCACATCACCAAAGTGAATTAAGGATTCTCTTTTACAAATATATAAACATACATATTTCTATTTCCCAACACATGTTAGAGCTTGTCCTACGCTGCTTAAGATTTTACAAACTGAACCGACCTGAACTGCGGTAGAAAAGTTTGGAACAAAGTCTGATTTTTCGTTTTTGCCGAACTCTTTTGGAACGTCTTTCAGCTTCTGATCAGTTTTTTTATTAGGGCTAGAACCGCGCCAGGTTAAGCCGATGCTCTTTGATATCTCCAGCTCGGCGTAATCGGAATACTAAGAAGTTCGAATCTCTGTTCGAGTTTGGTCGAGTATCTTTTTGTAATGAAAAAAAAATGCGAAGTGCAGTTCCTGAAATTTTTCTTTAGAAGAGTTGAATTTGGCAATCCGACAAGTCCCATCAACCTTTGATAAAAATAAAAGAAAAAATCCCATCAACCCTCCCCCCACCCACATGCTTTGGCTGTAAGGTATTATTAGGAAATATAGGGCATTAATTAATCAGAAGCCTCTTAATTAAGAAATGAAGCGACCAAAACATTGATTTGACTGCACAATTTTTAATATCCAGCCGACCTCCGCCTAGTTATGATTGTTTTTATCTTTGGCCCCTATCATCATCGTCATACAAGGTTGGTACAATTCCTATCTTCTTTTCCACTTGGTACCACCGTACGACAACGATGTCATTCTTTTCACAATTCAAGGCGCGATCTTGATGAACCGGCTATTCGGAAGAACTGCCGTGACCGTCCGCTCAGATCCGAGCTCCCCACGATAAGAATCGAACCGACGGTCATCATCGATTCATGAACCGAAAGGACGGGAACATCGATCCTCGTTAACGGGTCAGCTCCGATTAGGTCACATGGTTGTTCTTCAATAAGCCGAATGGATATAGAATATTAGATGGGAAGCAACTAACAGCAACGGGCATCATGAAAAGGAAACCCTAGTTTTGTATTTTTCCCCATTGCTGGGCCATGTAAATGTGACTAATCGAGAGCTCCTAGCTTTTCCTTCTTCTTTTTTAAAACTTTCGGGTGGCCCGAAGCTGAAAGTTTCAAAGTATTAGGCGAAGTTTTAGGTGAGTGATGGACGGAAGCAGAAAAGACATAAAGTCAAAGAAAAGTCTTCTTTCATCCAAACGTATATTAAGACTGGGACCCCCGGTAGATGCTCTTGTGATCCTTCATAGATTCAATTTTCTTGCATGGGCAAACCGAGTTGACTCACCTGGTTATGAGTTTACAAGAACTTTCGGCCTTTGAGCATGAATTGGTTTATCTTTTTATCTTATGTCCAACTGGGGAAGCTCCCTCTAGGCCTAGGTTGGCCTAGAGTTCACTGCCACTGGGGCCGTGGCCACCAGATCAGCAACCGGAGCAAGCCGCACTCATGTATTTTCTATTTTAACGTGCTGATATCCACATGCTTCAGTCCCTTATGTTGGGTCAATATACTTTTCTTGTCCCAACCTCGACAATACCCACCTTGATTTTAACTTCTCGTAGTCCAAACGAAGCCTTTTAAGGACCTACTTATGTTTTAGCCTTTGAGCATGACTTGACTATCTTTTATCTTATGTTTTTCAATAGAGAGTATCACAACTTGATATTGTCATTCGAAAGCAAGACTCGTATTTGAGCACTTAGTACGATATGTTGAGCCAAATCTTGTTAATGTTGCGGTTAATTTAGATCGAGAAAATTGTATAGTTTTCATATCAAATGCGATATATCATTCTTTTTTCTTTTTTTTTGGTAACCGAGAGGTGTCAAGCACCATACGCGCATCTCGACTATTCTTCGGGGAGACTAAAGACAAAGAACCCACCGTCATGGCTTCACTTAAATCACAAGTGCTCACTGGGAATCGAATATGGGACCAGTGCGCCTAACCACACAATCTCAAGTACGCCCCAACCAACTGAGCTACCCATGGGTGGGTGCGATATATCATTCTTTTGTGACCACTTATGATGAAAACATCAATGTCAACTAGCGATCTATACTTTTCACGGTCAATTGATTAAAGATTGGTTAAAGGAAGTGAAGAAAGCAACACATTACGACGTATTTAAGTGACAGATCGAATATGACCATTTTCAGTGTCGTTATCTTTTGTGTTAGGAGAAATTATGGGTCTCTCTTTCAACTTTAATTATCTAGGACGGAGAACAAACTTATTCTTCCTTTTTTTTCTTTATTATGATCTTATCGAGTTTGTTTAAAGTATGTTTCCTATTTTCATCTTTTCTAATATTTTTTTTAAAAGCGTTTGAAGTTTGACATGCACATCACGTCAAACATTAAAAACAACAACGCAAAAATAAAAACATCAAATTTGTCGAAACACGCGGCTCTTGACGGACGGAGTCATTCATTTATCTTTTCAACAATTCTTAAAAATCTTAAACACTTTCTATTATGTTCTCGTTTTGAAAACATTGAAAATATAACATTTCTGGATCAACTCACTCGAGATATTATTTGCTTTGATCCATCCCATATCGAATTTCACGATTTTGTCCTTTAATGTACAAGTGGGCGCTTTTCCAGAAAGTGACAATGTTCTAGCCTAGACTCACTTAATTTTGAAGTTCCAAAATAAAGCTTGCCATTACGTAAAAGGCGTTTTCGTAAATTAATTTTAGTTTTCGAGTAAGCATGCCACTCCCCGCTCTTGTCAAACCAGTCGTTTCACGAGGGATAATGAAAAAAAGGAGCTCCTTTGAGCTGAAAACGAGCAGACCCTTTTCTGCAAATTTGCATGGCGAAAAGAGAAAGGAGCAGCTTGGTGCGCCTCTGCAATTATGCATGGGAAAGAAGATAAAAGGATAGAAAGTAACAAAGCACAGACGAAACACAGAGGCAAAAGACAGCCATGGTTGAAGGCCGCAAAGAGAAGCGTGCACGTGCACGCAATGCAGAAAAGGAGATTTTGCTTAAAACAAGAACAAGATGATGATGATGATGATGATGATGATGATGATGTGCAGTGATTGCTTGGCCCGTATTGCAATTATCCGCCAAAAGTTGGCGTAAATTCTGTCGTCAGCGAACCTCACGAACAGTGAGGTCGGTACACTTTTTCCACGGGCGTGCTTGAGAAAGAAAGCAAGAATCATAGGATACCCTCTTGTGAAAAAGCAAGGTTTGAAGAGTTGGAGTGAAGAACGAGAGAGGGAGAGAGGGAGAGAGATTAAGCCCACTGGACTCTTTCATGGCCGAAAATGGGGAACTGGGCTTGAGCGCTCCTCGAGGACCCGACCGGTAATTACACCCCGGGCCACGAGGTCGAAGTGGTCCACTAGATTGATTTTGTCCGAAGCGCTCTCTGACTTTTAGAACGCTGTTTTGGGTCCTCACCGTTCGAACTCTTGCGAGTTTGGAATGGGAGGAAGCAGCGATTCGAACGTTGTCGCCCCGAGGTTGAAGAGGGAGGACTGCCCACGAACCAAACACGGCTCTGCGTTCTCCACTTGGAAGGTATCGTCTTTTCTGAACATGGGTTGTGCGTTATGATCGTTCTTGTATCCGAGTGATTGGGTTCCAAGCAGTTGAATTATTATGATGGAGGGGTTTGATCGAAGCACTTTTGGTGAGGAGATTCAAGAGGGTCGGTTTCTTGAATTGTGACGAATCGGATCTTGAATTCTTGATATCGAGGTGCAACTTTTTTGGGTCCTTAGGTGCTCGTAGGACCTACTGATTGGGAAGATTACTCATTGGGGAAGGAAGGTGCCACCAGGTACAGGGTCCATAATCTCCCGAAAAGCCCCGGGCCTGGGATATACGAGCTTGGTGTAGCCGCTTCTCGCGCCAAATCGGGGCGTGCGATCGCCAAGCTCGACCCGGGATTTGTGGTTGTGGTTTACCTTGGACAGGCGGACTGTGTCAAGACCAGGCTCCAGCAATACGGTCGGTCAGGTGCTCACTTGGGCAAGTGCTCGTCAGCTGCTTGTGAAATTGACTGCAAGACATCCTCTCCCACCAAACAGCTTGGATTGTTTGAGGAAATATTGTCAAGAGGCTACCCCATTGTGTTCCGATGGGCTTCGGTAAGTTTATTAACTAATTGCCGCAGTTGCGTTGTTCTGATCGCCCTAGTAGTATGCTTGCCAAACCTATCAGGAATTGCTAGCCATAGGAAAATGTCCTCATCATATGGGGAATCATTGAATTTGGATGCTAGCATAGTGTAGGCCATGCAGTTGAATCTACAATGGCGGAAGAGGGATTTCTGAACAAAAGTTTGCTCGATGTTCGAGTTTTCTGAGATTATAGTTCTTTGAATGGCTGTGCTAATTAACTTGGATAAATACATCATGTGGAAAGTTGGAGTCCATGTTGATCCATGGAATAGTCCAATCCCATCATCACATTGATGATAAATCTCCTCATGCTCTGCCATAAGAACTTGCGGTCCGTGTCATGGTGAAGGTAGGGTAATGCTGTCTTCGTCAATAAGGAAGAGGATATGAGAATTAGATCGTTTAGAGAACCGCTGAGAAGTAACCCACCCACAGAATTTAAACAACTACAGTAGCACGAGTCATGCTTAATGAAGCACCTACATGACAGTGTGGCTGCCAAGCATGTTTTTAGGCAAACTCTTGCCTCTTAATTTGATATTCTAAAATTATCCTTCATATTTAATTTTTGGATATCTGCAGCTGAACAACAAGGGAGATGCTCAAAGAGCAGAACTATCGCTTCTGAACACATTTGATTATGCATGGAACAAAGGCGGTAATGGTTCACGGCGGCCCGGTGATATTTTTCAGAAACTTGATGAAATCGCTTCAAGCACATACCACATTTCCAGCATTGCAACGAAGCTTCTCCCTTTCCGTCCCAGGCAAGTGGGCATCAGAATCAAAGGAAAGCTGCTTCCAGAGCAGAAAGATTCCTTCCCCCAAACTGGAGGAGAAAGCAGCTATTTCTCTAACGGGATTTTCAAGTTCAGCAAATCACGGCCAAGACTAGTTATAAAAGAATCCCATGCTAATGACGCTGCGATTTCCGGTACCTCCCCAGCTAATGAGAGCTTCTCTCCTTTATGTGGGGTCATCTTGGACGATGGCTTTCCCTGTACAAAACCACCAGTACAAGGGAGGAAAAGATGTAGCGACCATAAAGGGATGAGGATTCAAGCGTCAAATTCTGTATCAAGCAGAAAAGGAGCATCCAATGACATTCACGATAAGCTGACAATGACGTTGCGGGATCATACGGCCGAGATACAAGAACTGGGAAACACGGTAGAAGTTTTCCCACGGCAGGCGAACGTCAAAAACGACCACGGTACCATATGTGGAGTGGATTTCGGCGATGGCAATTTCTGCACAAGGAGACCTGCTCGAGGAAGAGTTCGGTGCGAGCAACACAAAGGGATGAGGGTAAACCAGGCGAAAAAGAAACATGTCGGCAGCTGAAGACGAATGCAAAATTCTGCGAGTCATTGAACTATAACATACAGGACAGATAATGGCACCGGGAAAATTTTACCGACAGCTTGCTTCTGTTGACGGAGCGGAACGAATGTAATGGTCTCATGGTACCGGGAAACTAACATAAGGAAGAACAGACACAGAGTACTTAACATAAGGAAGAACAGACTCACAAAGTACTTCCCTTCTGTTTTATTCGGAGAGCTTAGTACTGTAGTAGTTCCAAGTGCGAGGAATCTGGTTTAAGTAAGCTGCGCATTTTCTGTTGACTCTTTCTAACATTCTGGTGCATGATTACAGTGTATCTTAGATATTGGTTCTCATACATAGCTCTTCTAGATTAGCTGCACACATTGGGGATCAGAAATGTGCGTGTCATTTATCAGAACAGATGTACAACTTCTGAATGATTTATATATTATGCTGATTGTCGTGACCATTGAGAGAAAGTTGACGGATTTGAGTTGATTGGAAATCAAGTAAGACACGAGAGTCTGCCTTACTTTTACGAACTAGAGATTCTGAATATGGAGACTCGATTAGCGCCTAACGGTAATCATTTTTTCTTTTTGAAAAGCTTTTGCGTGCGATCCCTTTATCAATGTTATCGCGAATTCACCAACGTGCAAAATTGAACATGCATGGTGCGCAAGCCATAACAATCACACTAAATAATCAAAATGCAGTAAATATATTGCAAATAAAGTTGAAAGAACCTGAAATGCGCCAAGCGAGCCTAGGCGAAGCTCATCGTCAAGCCTTGGACGAGGTCCTACGCACTAAGAATCAAAAGGTGAAGATGTAGATGATATAATTTATGCATCGCCTAGATAAGACGCCTAAACGTGAGTGAAAGAAATTTTGGCGTTCTTTCACTTGTTTGGTTTGTTGAAAATGATCGGTAAACGAAAATTCATTTATAATCAAAGAAAATATGTGTATTTTAAGTTAGAAAAATGAATTCCTTAACCTGAATGATTTCCTAAAAAGCAATTTTCTTTATCATGAAATTCTCCTTGAAACAAACACCATAAATGCAAGTATGAATTCACGCGTGAGGATATGATCTAGAGCGACTAAACAACATGCAAATTCACGAAGTATAACCTGAGAAATCCACGTTTGGACTCGGATACTAGTATCACCTTACTTGTATCTTCGTAACAACCACTAGTGTCGAAGCTATTGCTAGTGTCTAGTATCAAAACTATAGCTGCGATGATGTTTTCGGCGGACGAGAATCCAAAAAGTTCTTGTATGGATTTGCTTCAGCATATCCTACGGCTCCGTTCCAGAAAATGCACAAATCCAGAACACAAAAGCAAATCAAATGCAAAAGAATCCGAATATGTAAATCAACTCTAAAATCTACAATTGGAATAGAAACGACCTGGTGTTGCAAGACGTGTCGGTGTCGGGACACGCCGTGGTGATTCGAACGGCCCCATAAACTGGGCGTGCTACCATCCCATGCGAAAATTTTAGTTACTCACTAGAGCTATTCCACGGCCGAGACGCCATCTGGCTCAAGAATCCACAGCGGCCGCGGATGGTCGTCCGAGATCGTCGCGTGATAGAGGCCGCGGCAGGACTTCCGACAGCGGTCGCCACCGGCGACGACGGACCGGGACACCGGTGATGTCCCGGAGGTTCGCCGGCGATGCATCCGTATGTTTTGCAAAGCGGAATTGGCACAGAGAGAGAGAGAGAGAGAGAGAGCGGCGGCTGATGGTGGCGTTCCACTTCCGGCGACGGCGAGAATCCTGAAGATGGGAGGCCCCCGCGTGGCATTTTTGTATAAGAATCCGCCGAGAATCTCTTACTTCATCCGTGACTGACGCTCTCGTTCTTGGGAATGTTTCACCCATCTTTCTTTTCCGTTTCCTTTTCGAATCTCCACCAAAAATTGATCCCAAAAATCCACCCGATGAGATTTCAATCAATCAAATTTCCGCCGGTCAATCAAACCGGAATTACCACACAAATTTCTTGATCGATTTTCATCCAAATTTCGTCCCAATTTCGATCAATTCCCCACCAAGTCTCTTCGAGTCCTAGCCGAAATTATCCCGGAAGATTGAAATGATTCGTCTTTTTTGGGGCTTGGTCTTTAAGAACAAGTTTTTGGTGGCTCTTCGAGTTCGTCTCGCGTGTCGGACCATCTATCGGGCTAATTTAAGCGAAATTCGTGCTCGAGCCTTTGTTTCATTTTCTGCGAAACGCTATTCCTAAACCTTAATGTCCGTAATCTCTCAATGCAATAAGGAATGCGATAACTCGCGAAATTAATATGTTTGTTTAGGGGGTCTAATTCTATTTTTAGATCTTTAAGCGAAAATTCAGGTGTCAACATGGATTTCGTGGCTTTACCTATAGACTGAACTTTGGTCTACGGTGATCCGTGAGTAGACCATCAAACGGGTGGGTCGGGTCGGGTTTGGGTCGGGTCATAAATGGTACGATCCAAATTGACCCATTAACCGTTTATGACCATTTATTCATAGTGTAAATATCCCGACCCATCCCGACCCAACCCACACCCAACCGACCCATATTGCTAAAACACTTTTATATTTAACCTAATCTAGGAATACTTGTTTCTTATGATTTTTTTAAATTATCTTGCTAAAACATTTTATGCAATACAAAGCTAGTGAAAAAATTTTATAATTTTTTTAAAATTGAGGTTGTTTGTTTTTGAAAAATGCGACATTTCTAGAAAATATTTTCCATAAAGTCATTATCCAAGAAAATAAAAAAAAATTAATATTTTTTATTTTTAAATCAAATTTTAATTAATTTTTATTTTTATTTTTATTTTTTTCCTTTATTTTGGGCGATCACCGCCGCCGTGGCGGCGGACCGACCACGAGGCGGGACGAGGCTCGCCGGCGGCCGGCGGCTCGTTTCGCCGGCCTCAAGCGAGGCTCTAGCCTCGCCGTCTGGCGAGAATCGAGCTCGCCGGCCTCGGGCGAGCTCGACCTCGCCGATCTGGCGAGACTCGAGCTCGCTCGCCCGAGGCTGGCGAGCTCGAGCCGCGGCCTCGGCGAGCTCCACCTCGCCAGATCCGGTGAGGACGAGCTCGCCGAGGCGGCGAGCTCGAGTCTCGCAGATCGAGGCGGAGCCTCGCCGGGATCGGGCGAGCCTCGAGGTCGTTGGAATCGGGCGAGCTCGAGTCTCGCCGAGGCGCGAGCTCGAGTCTCGCCAGTCGGCGGCTGGAGCCTGGCCGGATCGGCGAGCCTCGAGGTCGTTGGAATCGAAGCTTGAGACTGCCGAGGTCGACCTATAGACTGAACTTTGGTCTACGGTGATCTGGAAAAAAAAAGAAAGAAAACAAAACAAAGAGAAAAAAATTAAATTTGACGAACTTTGGTCTAATGTTGTTCCGGGTGAGTCTGACTATATGGTCGTACAGGCCAGCGTCCGGGGCTAAGAGGGTGGCTAAATCACAAGCTAGCAAAATTTCAACGGATCTCGTGTCTGGACATTGTTCTCTCGTCACCGTGCTTGCACTCGCGGAGAAGGGTGGCTGAACGCGTAGTCCTTGTTTGCCACTGAGACGAGTAGAACGCACGGCGTCCGCTCACGGGGTCCGAGTCTCGGGGGCAACGTGCGGCTCGAGCCATCACCGCTCGCTCGATGGGCCGGGAAGATCCGAGAACGATGAGCCGAACACCGCAGCCCCGCCGGCATGGCGAGAGATCTCTTCACATTTCTGGTGCACGAATTAGCCCGGAGATCCATCTGTCCCGGACAAAACAGGGAGATGGCAACATGCGTCGAACCGATAACCATCCTTCTGATTAGGACGAAAGATAACGACGATGTGTTTCTTCCGGGACATGTCTTGAATTGGACCGCACTCTCCTTTGTTGGCAACCTCAAAAAGCTTGTTTGTGTTCCCTGAGTAACGTAAGCGATTACGTTAGCGGACACAACATGGCGTTTATAAAAGTGCGCAAATTTAACTCCCCGTGCACTTACAATGTAGTCACTTTACATGGAAAAACATACTCATTTCGAACTCATCACCGAGCATTATTAGAGCATATCTAAGTCGCCTACATGTCGCTATCGAAACGCGACGGTTGTTCTATACGCGCGATTTCATATATAAAAAAGAAAAAAAGCCCTTTGAGATTTCTTTAGGATGGGAAACGGTGCGCTCGCGACGACAATTGAATTCGTTTTTATATCGGGAAATGAACGGGGGTCGGGAAACTCGAACTGTTCATTCATTTTGAGAACTTCCTAAGATGGACAAGGCTTATTTCTAGTCATTGAGGATGATGAACCGCTCATCTAATATACCGCACAAAAAAAAAAATTAGATAGAAAAAAATTGCACATTCCACTCCCGGAGTGGATGGAGAGCGAGGAATACCACGGGCTACACCTTCATACTATGTGCTATACTCAGCTGACTAAACAAAAAAAGAAAATTTCGACCGAAAATAAAATTGATTTTTTTTTGTTTTTTGGGTTTTTGTTAATTACGGGATATAATCGATTTTTACATATTTTCTTAAAAAGCGTGAACGACCCGCAATTTGAGATCGTTTGAATCGACGAGTGAGGAAAATCGCGTTACATGCATCGGGAGCTGCGAGGCCGCCACGAAATGGGATCTTTTTCATCCTGGTCGGCATAGAGATTACCGGGGCGTTTTCGATAGTGACTATTAGGAAATAAATAATCTTTTTCAGAAAGAGATTTCAGTAAGGGATTCACATTCCAATTTTTTGTTTTGCTAGGCCCACGGCGCACATTTCTTATCGTTGCTCGTCGCCCTGCTATAGAACCTATGTGACTAAAATACCTCTAGAAGGAGGGGGATAGGGCCTACAACCCATATCTATCTTCACCTAGTCATGGATAAAACGAAAAATTTAGCCAAGTGAATCCCATTGCTTATACGGCTTACAAAAACGCATCAACGAAAAATAATTTTACCGTTCACGAAAAAATTTAAGCATAAATTAATATCGATAATGAAAATATTTTCATTAGTTAATTATTTCATTCGGTATAAATAATTATTTTTAAGAAAATATTTTTTAAATGTCGGACGAGACGTCCGAATTAATTAAAAAAAGATGAGAGAAATTGGTGGAGGCTCCACGTCTTCACAAGTCCAATCCATAAAATAACGGCCGAGACCCTCACGCCATTCCTCGATTCTCTCCCGAAAATCTGGCCACACTGAACTCTCTATAGCCATGCCAGCCAGCGACCTCCGCCCGCAGACGGCGGCGGCCCGGCCGCAGCCGCCGCCGCCGCAGCACCACCACCAGGCGTCGGACTACGAGCGGGAGGAGGAGGAGGAGTTCGTGTGGACGCAGATAAAGGCGGAGGCCCGGCGCGACGCCGAGTCGGAGCCGGCGCTCGCGAGCTTCCTCTACTCGACGGTCCTCTCCCACGCCTCGCTCGCGCGGTCCATCTCGTTCCACCTCGGCAACAAGCTCTGCTCCTCCACGCTGCTGTCGACGCTGCTGTACGACCTCTTCCTCGTCGCCTTCTCCTCCGACCCCGAGCTGCGCGCCGCCACCGTCGCCGACCTGCGCGCCGCCAGGGCCCGCGACCCGGCCTGCGTGTCGTTCTCCCACTGCCTCCTCAACTACAAGGGGTTCCTGGCTTGCCAGGTTAGGGATCTTGGGTCGGCTATCGCTCGCTCGATCGCGATTTTGTCGGGGTGGGGGTGGGGGCGGGGCGAAGGGAAGATGTTTGCTTGATTCGTGGGTCGTTCGATTGAGTTCCGATGATTTGGTTCGCACTGCTTCTGTTCTTGTTTCTGTTTCTTTGGGCTCAGTTCGTGAGATGAATCCGATGCTTTCCTTTATGTCTTTTGGGGATCTTTACTAATTCAAGAACTGCATTTGCCCTAAATCTCCGGTTTAAGATGGGCCTTCTTGATTGATACGACTGGAATTGAATTTGCAAATCTTCAATGGGGTTTCTGCGTTTGAAGAGAAAGGGTGTGTTGGGTATTCTGAGCTGTACCAACATCCCATCTCCTTCCATTGTTTCTGTGTGTGTGCAAGCTCGGGCTTTTACGCGTAGGAAGGCAATAAGAAATGATTTCACTGATCTTTTGCCTTGTGGCTTGGCTTCTGGGCTTTTCCTGATAGTTGATTTAGAGGTTGAACTATAAGGATGCTGATCATTGTTGTTGTTTGTCTGCTCCTATCAGGCGCAACGAGTGGCTCATAAGCTGTGGAATCAGTCACGTCAGCCGCTGGCGCTCGCTCTTCAGTCTCGTATATCTGATGTCTTTGCGGTCGACATACATCCGGCCGCTAAAATCGGCAAAGGGGTCTTGTTCGATCACGCGACGGGAGTGGTGGTCGGCGAAACAGCCGTGATCGGGAACAACGTGTCCATTCTACACCATGTTACTCTCGGCGGAACGGGTAAGGCGGGTGGCGATAGGCATCCTAAGATCGGGGATGGGGTCCTGATCGGAGCAGGTGCGACGATACTAGGGAATGTGAAGATTGGAGAGGGAGCGAAGATTGGGGCTGGATCGGTTGTGCTGATCGACGTGCCACCTAGGACAACCGCAGTGGGAAACCCGGCGAGGCTGGTGGGAGGAAAGGAGAAGCCAAAGGAGCACGAGGAGGTTCCTGGAGAGTCCATGGATCACACTTCCTTCATCTCCGAGTGGTCAGGTTACATAATCTAACATGTTGGTTCCTCTATTTTGTGCGCGTGATGGTTTAGTTACAGACGATGGTATGAATGTTTTGCTCGCTATGCCGTTTTAGCACTCTTATGTTTTATTTATGTTGGCCGAGGAATACTGCACAGATCGTGTCGTGAGCCTTGGAATCGCTTCCCCGCATGTATGTGTATTACCATCAAACATCATCTTGTATCAATCAATCCCCCCTGGCTTGAACTTTACTATTGTTCCTGGTTTCTGTTGCTGCTGATGAGTGATTGATGAATAGAATCGACTGCAAGAATCAGGTTCTGTTCTTCCTTTTGAGTATCGAGTTGCTTTGTAGTATTGAGTTTGCTGAAATGGAGATTGGGTTTGCTCCTGCATGCACTTGCTGACACGACCATTGCTCTCCTGAAAATAGTAGTTTGGGCCAGTTTTTCCCTTGGCAATGCCCGAGGGTTGACTCATGAAGGCATTTTTTTAAGGCGAAGTTGCCAATAATTCTAGCTTTGATGGATTGACCAGAGGACACCGTTGGCTCATCCTGCATCTGGACAGCTACCTGTGCCAGTTGTTAAAACACCTGAGCTGAAATTTTAAAATCAAGCTCTGCAAAAGCCCACGGAACTGTCGAAAACATGCAACGCATGCAACTTTGGATTTTACCTTCGGACGTATGTCGACGTGACGCCGGTCTCGTCGAACCGTGACACCAGAAATCTGGGAAAATTAATCGAAGAGTTCTAAACATATTACATTTTTGCCAATTCAGTTTTAAATCTTTTAAGTATGTCAATTGAGTTATAAATCTTTTTACATTTTGTTAATTAAGTCTTGATCGGAAATTGCAGATGTGGAAGCCGGCCGTCCTACTTACCATGGCCAGTTTAGGACGGTCGGTGCTGACGTGAATAATTTTTAATAATAATTTAATTTTTATATTTTTTTATTAAATTTCCGTTTCTGCTTTTGTTCTCTTTCCTTCTTTTTAATTTCTTTTTCTTTTTCTTTTTCTTTTTCCCTATGTCAACCATTGTCGGGCTTTAAAATATTATTAAAAATTGTCCAAGTCAATACCGGCCACTGGCCGTGCCACATAAGACGGTTGGCGTTCATGTTAGCAATTTTCGATCAAAATTGGCCGAATGGACTTAATTGGCAAAATGTGAAAAGGTTAAGGACTCATTGGCACAATTAAAAGGCTTATGACTGAATTGACAAAAATGCAATAGGGTTAAAACTTTTCAGAAAATTTTTCCCTATAAATCTTGAATTACTGATGGTTCTTCTATCTTAAACTGAAATGAAAACTTTTCCCTGGCATTTTTAGCCCATTCATTCATCTACCAAAAAAGGAGAAAAAGAAGAAAGAAGAAGAGGAGGAGTCAAATAAATAAACATGGGCATTTGCGAGTTTGACCAAGAGATGATAGAACAGACATTTTTAACTCTAGCACGTTAAGCTTTTGTGGGTCGATTTGTGTTCGTCGGTAGGGCTGGATTTAAGCTGTCATTTTGCTTCTTGAATTTATCACTTCCTTAGGGCCAAATCCCGAGAAAAGCCCCAACCAACCTTTGGCATCCAAGACAAAATAACACAACCTTTCAAACGTCTACAAAAAATGTCTAGCCTCTTTCTTTGCACGTTTGACTTTTATATAATGCAAAACGTCATAATCTTTTTGAGATTATACTTATATTCCCATATAGAATTTAAGATAATTATTCGTAATATTTCCAAAATATTTTTTTAAAATGATCGTTTATATCACGTGATATAATTAGTTAGTGAATATATTTTCATTCTCGATATCTATTTAGTAGACGATGCAAATATTTTATTTATTTATTTATTTATCTTTGTAAGCGATACAAGTAACGATTTTTTCATTCATTTTCAACAAAACAAACACAATCTTAACCAATCTTGGATTAAGATTGAATTGACTGGAATTTTTGCGAGAGTTTTGGCTTTGCCCAAGCTTCGATAATACTCTTAGCCTTCCTTCTCGAAAAAAAAAAAAAAAAAAACCAATTGCAGTCCTTGATTCAAGATGAAGCATTTATGAACCTAACATATATACTAAACTCAATTTGAATCATCAATTATGGTGAGATCCGCGTGAAATCGACCACCATTATTCCCGGTCCGGATTCCGTCCGGTTTATTTACTACATCCGTGGACCACTGCAAGCCTGCTAGACTGAATTCATCAAAAGCAACTCCAATCAAGAGAGTCAACACATGCACATGCATTAACTCTCCATGTATAAACCCAGCATACCCTATACTCTAGAGAGAGAGAGAGACAGAGAGAGAGAAAGAAAGAGAGAGTTGTTCCTTTCTATGATTGATTGCTTGTCCTAAATGAATATGAAAGTTCTGGTTCATTTAGACAGCCCATGTTCCTTTATGATTGACTCTACAAATGAATGAATTGTGTGTTTTGCCCTAGACTTCCTCCACCTCCACCACCTATCTACATTGCCCTCCCCCCCTTACCCAACTGACCTTGTATACCCTTCCCATTCCGAACCAATCAAAAATCAAAGAAACACGAAGAAAAAATATCGAGCAAGCGATAACTCGAAGACACCCTAATTCCGATCCGATCCTACCCCCACTTGGTTCAATCCGAGTCCTCGAGAGCGACACGAGTCTTTATTGGTTTGAGCTTCAAGCCCATGCTCTCGGGAGAGAGGAGCTCGGGAGAGATGCAAGACGGGCTGAGAGGGCTCCTCGGGCTGTCGCTGAACTGGCACGGCCTGTACAATCCGTACCCCATGAGGAAGAACTCCATGGGGATCAGCATTGCATGTGGCTGCTCTTCTGTCACCATCGATCCACAAGCCTGGACCTGCACACCAGTTTGAAAACAACACTTATTAATAAGGGCATATGACCATCCACAATTTCCTCGGAACGTTTATCAACCATAAATAAGAATCATCTACAAAAAGAAGAGTAAGGGCTTCATGAGAATTCTTATGCAGGCAAAAGGCGAACAGAAGTACCTCAACTAGGGCACTGTATCTCCTATCCAGCTTTGACATCATATGGATAGCCTCGGAGTGAAAAGTAGAATGCTCGCCGACAAAAATTAGCGTTCGGCATTTCAGTCTCTTCAATCCACCGGTAATATCACGTCTTCTGAAAGTAGTTGAAAGGGATACTTGGAATCACTCGAGGAAATAAGTTAAAAGGGAAATGGCAGACATGCCAAAACATTCGGACACAATCAACAATTTTTGTTTCTGCTTTTACCCGTTAATTGCCTCCAGAAACCTCGATACGTTTGCACTTTGCCTCTCATCAAGCAACTGAAGACATAAACATGAAAATTATGACAAAGAATACATCGTGTGCTTGCGAGAGAGAGAGAGAGAGAGAGAGAGAGAGAGAGAGAGAGAGAGAGATGCGAATCAGTTAAAGAGCTCTACTTTTCTACAAGCTCTAACTATGTCCGATTCTGGAACTTCACTGCTACCTCGAACTTCCTGTTATGATTTAAAAAATTTCACTTTCAGTAGACCAGGAAAAAGCCTATTTGATGTCATCAAATAATACTAGAAAAAGAAGATTAGAAGATCATAACACCTTGCTGAAATACCGCTGGAGCAAGTACTCCTTCACCAATCCACACATGCCGTAATAATATAGCAGGTTTGACATAACCTAAAAAGTCATAAGTAGCTTTTTATGTCGAGGAACTAGCTGACATCCTTAGACTACAATAAGCAGAAGGTTTAAATGGGACCTTATTGTAAAACCATTCACTCCAAGAAGGAATTCTGTATAAAGGTGATACCAATATTAGCCCAAGAACACGCTCCCTATATTTCATCTGCAATACAAAAGCAAGTCTATAAGCACCATGTGTGTTAAAGTCCCTTATAATTACTTTCATGTGAATACATACAGCAAATAAGGTGAGGATGTAAGCACCAGCAGTGACCCCCATGCACATAACTGCACCGAGCCTAATAATAAGATAAGCTTTGATCAGCAACAAAATCATAAATACAGAAGGAAGAAGATGCTAAAAAGAATAACAGGACATAGCCCGGAAATACCCTTCTATGTCTCTTGCTATAACTAGCAATAATTAAGCATGCTAACAAATATTCACCAACCCCAAAGACAGAGATTATTCAGTTTTCAGCTATAAAGATAGAAAGGAAGCAGCAAAAAACGTCACCCATAATTACCTAAAATAATTTAGGATCTCGATAATCTGATCAGCTAAACCATCGAGGGAAGGTACGGGGTCATCTGGACAAATTGTAGCGGCTCCCAACTGCAAAACACTTGTGGAAGTCCAAATGAAGGAATCACGTTAATAATGGCACTAAGAAAATCAGTGCAATACATATACAGATAGAACAAAATGAAGTTACATAATGAACATTTCATCTCCCAAATCTATAAATTTACAGACCTCGTGTCCAGGAGGGCTTATATGATAGACACAAAAGTTGTGGAGAAGCAAAGAAGCTGCTTCAGGACAAAAGAACAATCCTTGGAAACAGGACATATCTGATACGAAAATCCAGGGAAAACAAAAGCTTATTAAGAAAAGAGAAATTTCAAAGATTGCATATAAACACCTTCTGAAGAATAACTACATAAGAAGAAAATAGATGCAACAAGTATAATATGGACTCAGGAAAACTTCTGCAACAAAATTTACCCTGGATGTTGCACCAAAAATCGGTATATCTTAAAACTCACAAGGTACCAAACAAATTCACTAGAATTAATGGATAAGAAAGCGAACGATCCATTCAAGAAAACTGAGAGAGGAAGTCATAAACACAATATTAAGACACGAGCATCTACGCACTGCACCTGTATTATGGGTGCATTCCAGACCAAAATGTTACATAAATAACAAGCATTAAGAAACCAAAGCAGCACTTCATCTTTACTCTTGACACTTCAGTAACGGGGCTAACTTTCCAAAAGAGGTAAGATAACATTTAGATCATAACAAATGAAACAAGGAAAAAACACATTAACTAAATAACACTTACAATTAAGAGCTAAATCCGGATAGGTGATTAATGCTGGCTTATCTGGATCTCCATATACTATAACAGAGACTGAACCGGAACCAGTTTGAATGAGATGTTCCTGGTAAAAGACAAATAGAATTGCCAGAAATGTTCAGAGTCGGACATAGACAAACTATTACCAGTTATAGAACTAAACAAAAGTTCGTAGAGTAATTGTTCAACAACAGATAAAAGGTCACTTCCGTTTAGCATGAGAACAAAAAATGTCACCATTTCATGTTCTCAAATCAGTAAATTAACTTCAGTATTTAAGTCAATGCACCACATTGATGTGAAATCCTCAATAAAGAAAGAAATCTCTTTTGTCCGTTTCGCCGGCCCCATATAGAAGGGCTCCCTACATAGTACATGCAATTATCCGGTAGATCGCATCCACATAACAACGTAGAAGAAACAGCTGGCACAAAATTCTAATTGTAAATTTCAATCATTGGTAGTGAGAAAGACGACACGAAAAAAGGCATTCTATGATGAATTAGAAAAAAACAAAGACATTATAAGACAAGGAGAGCAACACTTCGGGCTGCAACTCACAATGACCGAAATAGAAAAACATTGATATCAAATAACCTACATGGAAATCACCAAACATTAAGCAAGGTATCCGATAGATCAAAGCACAACAGCTAAGCCCGATAGGGTAATTAAGCACGTCCATCATACCAGGCCGATCATGGAACATACAATCCAAATATATATAAGGCATCCAAAATAGACCACTTTAGCATATGAGAGAATTTTCAATTGTACTAATGCAGAAAAACACCAATGAAAACAGGGAAAAACAAGTCCAGAATCAGATCAGAAGCAAGCTCTGAAAGGGCTATGGCAGATATCAACATCAATACAATGGAAAAAAATTAGAATCCAAATGTAAATCCACGAACGAAGAAGCCCTCCATTCTAATCGGCGAAAAAAAAGAAGAAACACAAAGCATTGCTTCAATTTTACATCTTGAGGTAAAGAAAGAAGAACAAAAGAAGAACAAGCTTACGAAGCGTGGACTTTTTTCTCTCGTCCTGTTAACAAAGCGTTAACACGACAAAAAAGTTCCAGGCTTTGTTCATCTCCTGCCATATTCAGCAATCAAAAACGCGGCAAACACCAGCAAAATTCCAGATGCAGCCCCCCCAAAGTCTTGCTTTTTCGACAAAGCTCGCGACACCCACAAAAAGAAACAACAGAAAAACATCCGAAGCGGCGACGCCCGAGGAATCAAGATTCCAGACGAAGGAAATGCAGGATTGGGTCGACACCCGATTCGACAACAGGCCGGAATCCGACGACCCATTTACGAAACATTTGCGAGTCCGGGACAAAGACGGTACCTTTCCACCGAGATAGATCTTCTCCACATCAACGGGGACGGACTCGCTTGACCCTCCCATGACCCTGGGAGGCCCTCCTCTCTCCCCTCCCCGTTCAAACCCAAGAACCCAACAACGAATCTCCCTCTCCCTCTCTCCCTCTGTATAAAGTTTCTCCTTCAAGAAAATTTTTTCGCCTTCTCTTCAACGACTTTGTACACCCAATCTCTCTCTCTCTCTCTCTCCCTCTAAATATGTCCCCGCGATCTTACGCGCCCGTCCCTCCCTCCCTCCCTCCACCGACGCTCCATATGACCTCGATGCAGACCGAAATTACGGCACCTGCCCCCACCACCTCGTGATCTTTCAGCTGTCGTTTTCTCTTTCTTCTGGTCAAATTTCGGGGATACGCTTTGTTGGGTTCTTTCACCTCGTTCCCTTGAATAATAAGATAATCTTGGATCTGCTACAGTCGTTTGGGAATGCTGCGAAGCAAACAAGGAAGTAAAAATCTGTTCTTGCTCTTGCTGCGCTCACGTTCGAGCAAAGAAGAAAAATCTCCCCTTTACTAATTTGAACTAAATTACCGAAAGAGTTACTTACCCTTTTAGCAACTTCATCATAATTTCCGCCTTAAGATGGTTCATTTAACTTTATTTGCTTTCCTATGCAAATAGTACGTGCAATCCAACTCCTACTTCTTCTTCTTTTTTCGGAATATATCGCGAAAATGAAATCGAGCACCCGGTGTTAAAAAAAAAAAAGAAGGCAACGTCATCATTTTTCGTGCCAAATGAAAATCACGACACTTGTCACAGGGAAAATTGCAATCCCGCAATAACACCTTTAAGGAAAAAAAAATCTTAAAAATTTCTCGAGAATTCGTTAAATTGACATGGTGGGAAGAGCAGCATTAAAGGCCTCTAAACTAATGGCTTCCCAAGTTGATTCTAGGGAGGAAGGTAGGTATATTCAGTTAATCTAAATGAAGTAACGAGGATCTCTCGACAAACAGTGGTTTCAAGAATTCCCATAGTGGAGGAAAATTAATCTAAGTATGCATTTTTCCTTAATTGAGATTAAAAAAAAAAGGGTTGTTTATTTATGGGTCAATTTAGGCTTGAGTGTGTTTTTTTTTTTACCTTCAGAAATATGGAGGGTGCTCAAGACGGTCTCTTTTACACAACTTTTGACTGGGAGCAAATGATGGAGTTGGGCATGTCCCTATCACTAGGTTTTGACTTGGTGCAGTTGTCTTTCTCCTTCTTCTCTCTAATTTTTTACTCCTGTTGGTTAATTTGGTCATTGGATTTTTGCCTTGATGTTTTTTTGTACATCTGTCATTGGATGCCACTTGAGGTGGGGCCCCGGTGTGGCCCACGCCCCTTTATTCCCCCTGACACTTCACAGGTCTTGATTGGGCCTAAAGCAACACTCCCCCCAAGTTGGGGAGTTTTGCTTGCCCTTTCATATGGACTCAATAAAATATTCGGGCGGCAATAAAACTTTGGTCCAATGTATATTAATTTGCGTAACGTGATCTCTGAACAATTTGTAAATATTTAATGTAGTCATTTCGTTTGCTCAAACGATAATTTGGACATAATTTGATGACGTATATTATTATATACTGAGATGGACTTTTGAAAATGATGAGTCAGTATGTTCATCATTTGATTTATCTACTTCAGAAAAGGAAGGGAACAAATTAGGGACTTTAAATTTATCCCACGCAGAAATTTTTGTACCTGATTTGAGATGAATATCTTACGTGGATAATTCACGTGTAACCTTTTTTTTTTCGTCCACCATTCAAACTTAACGGATTGAACGCCAAATAGTAGATTCCGTGAACTTAAATTAACGAAAGGATAAATTTAAATATTTTCACGTAGTTTAGGGATTATATTGAATATTTACCAATAGTTCAAATTCGGGAACGGCATTACATATTAGGCCAAAGTTTAAGAATCATATTGAACAAATTAAAAGTTCATGAACGACATTGCACATTAAACCGAAGTTCATGTACCATTCATGTCATTTTCCCTAAAAATATAGCATAAAAGAATAATCGAGCTTAGACAGGATTGAAGAGATGCAAAATGTGATTTCCATTCTTTTTACTATTTTCATTCTCGAGTGAGATTCATGTGAACGGGTGAGATCAATTGAGTTTACATGCACTGTTTCACGTGATAAATGTTAAATCTAGAAATGATACGTCGTCATCTCAAAGAGAAAACAAATAAATCATTACATATTCCAAATTTAAGTTCATTAAAATGGTTTGTTAAAAAATGGATACTGGAATTAAATAAATATATTAATAAAGTTTCGGAGGATACCAGATTTCTTGAAATTACCGGCTAAGCATACAATATGCGTGGAAAATGTCGAACATTGCAATTCTTGAAATTAGAAAGACCCGGGTTCGGTTTGTTTCGTGGAAAATGAATAATTCGAAAAGTATTTTACTAAAAATGATCGCTTGTATCGCTTGGAATAATTAACCAACGAGAAATGTTTTTTGTGACATTCCGAATTTTGGCACATTTTTGGGATTTATAAAACGTGAATTGTGGGTTAGTGGTTAATTAATTGTGTTTAGGGTATAAGTTATTGATTAGTTTATTATTATTGATTATTATATGAAATGTTATTATTTTCGGAATTTAAATATTATTTTATTAGTTAATAAATTAATTCCGAATTAAATATTATTATTTTTATTATTAAATAATTATTTTCCGAAAATTAAATAGTATTATTTTCGGAAAATTTTCTAACGTTAATTGTGATGCCAATGTTGGATTTTACCGTATAAATTGGCATTTTTAGCAAATGATTTGAATGATTTTGATTTGAGAAAATATTTCGAATTTTAGAAAATAATTATTTTCGGAGATTATTAATTAATTAATTTCCGAGGTTATTTATTATTATTTCGGAAAAATCTTGAATCTCAAATTATGATTTTCAGCTTGTATGGTGACGATTATGGCGTGAATTGTTGTATTAAATTGATTAGATGGCTAATTGTTTAGAATGGAAGTTTTCAACGAAAATTTGTGGGATTAAATTATTTTTGTGGGTATGCCAAGAATGACAGTGATGCATCGTGGTTGATAAACATGTTTGGCATCGAAGTTTGCAGGAATTGATTATTTGTTTGCGTATGCAGTGACACTTGGTTTGTTATCGGCATTTGTGAGCACTTCAGACACACGCGTATTTAATTGAAAAGATAATAATTGGCCGGTATGAATATTAAAATGGCTTTTGTTATGTCTCGGTTTTCCTATGCTATCCCCGTTTATTATTGTTGTCAGAATTGTTGTGTTCGCTTCATGCGTACTAAAGGATAAAATGAAGGGTCGGTGATCTGGGGACGTCGCATTTTAACGCCGTAGCGGGATGTCGTGCGCCCGCGAGGAAGTTCGGGCGTGACATTTTTATTGTCGATAACAATTCATGTCTAAATATTTTCGTGGACTTGTGAATATTTTTTTCCGTTCATTCATTTTTACGAACGATGCAAGCGATCAGCTCTAGGAAAATGTTTTTCAAATAAATTATTCTTCGCGAAACAGACGGAGGTCGACTGTGCTTGCGTAATCATTCGTTTGGTATGCTTTAGTTAGCGCAGAGACAGAATGTTTAACTACCCATCAAGAAGTATGAGCTGACCCGCTTATCATCCAATTGAGCAAGATAAGTAGCTCGATTATTAAACGGTATCGAAACCAACCCTTTAAATAGTTTATTAGAAGGATACTAAAGAACACAAACCCTCTACGCAAAAATATTCTCTTTGCCACATAATTAAATTAGCTTAGCAAGAAAGTTGCTGGTGAAGTTGATGAACCGATCGATGTCTATATGCTTTCTGGTGTTATATCCTAATCAGAATCTCATACCGTCTGAAGCATCGTTCCAATCATGGACCATCGTCACTTTTAGCTCAATTCCAGTGTTGTCTTGATAGATTCCATTCTCACATACTTGATTGATAAGAGCAAAGTTTGGTGAAGGGAAGTAATATATAAACAAAACAATCAACAACTCGAAGAGAATTAACAGCTCTCTGATAAAGTTACCAACATCATATATTAGTTATTGACGAGAACTTTTATCCGGAGAAAGTCATTGAGTAACAATATTTTTCGGATGTAACTTTTTTGTGGATAAGTGTTGCTAGATAATAGGAAATCGTGTCACTTCTAGTAATCGCAGATAAGATTTAAAAGTTTTTTGTTTTTTCAAATAGTACATATATACCGCCTTATGTAATTGTCGATAGAGGGTTGAAAATACCCTAGTGTACTCTCTGTAAATCCCATATCAATTACGGAACTCAATATTCTTTACAAATTTATCTTCATCTTTATTTTTTCACAATTAAAATGGCTGGTCGCAATTGCCTCCAGTTTTCATACCTTTAAACACTTGTCATATTCGACCAAAAGAAAAAAAACGCTTGCTATATACTTTCCTATCCAAAATCAACAGAGGACCCTTCGCAGCCTTTGTCGATTTACTCATCGATCTATATAATATTCGAAAAGTATTTCGTCGTTAGATTCAACTCCGGCGGAACATCTTTTTGATTATATTGAAATATATTTCTTCGTCGATTCAATTCCAGTGAAATAGAAATGGTAACCGTATAAATAATCGCAAAAAGAAATGCAAGAGATACAGAGCAAAACGTGAGTCTTATTGGGCCACAAACGTGTATCAAGCGAACTTCGCGAAACCCCCCGAGCCCCCTCCGCCCCCGGAACAGCCTCACGAGCAGAACGGCTCGAACACGAGAGCCGCCGGATCATCGGGCCATTAAAAGTTCCGAACAAGAAGCCTCGTGAAAGTTACAGAGAAAAGAGGCAACACGTTTGACGACACTTGAGCATCGCGTGTTTCTTGTTTCGCTGCGAAATTTCGTCGAACAGATCATGTGCAAGTGCTCCAACAAGTGCCCGACGAAGAAGAGCAGAAGGAAATGCCAAGTAACTGATCTTCCTTGCGCCGAAAGATGGAAGAAGGAATTTTTCGCAGGTGGGTCCCGCCACTGTGACAGGTGGACACGGAGCGGCCAATCAGAATCGGCGGAACACGTAAAACCCTTAATTTCTCCGAATATACGGTCGGTCTCGCGCACAACCGTTCCCGTCACTCGCACGACTCCCCCCACTCCCACTCCCACTCCCTCTCGAACGAACGCCATCGAAGCTCTCCCTTCGCTTCCTCTCGACCGGAGGAGCTTCCATCGAATCGGGAGATCCCAGAGCCTAACTGGGCCGTCGGAGTTGCGCTACGGGCATGGCGAAGGTCAGCGCCGCCGCGTCCGTCGCCGCGGTGCTGTGCATGGTCCTCGCGTGGGCATGGATTCCCGCCGCGGAGTGCGCCAAGAAGCCGGCCTCCGCCGCCCGGAAGGAGGACGTCCCGTTCATAAGGTGCCAAGTCTGCGAGAGGCTCGCGTCCCAGCTGCATCGCCAGGTGCAGCAGAAGCAGGCCCGGATCTCTCCCAAAAAGGTACGGGCTCTGTTCGTGTTCTGGTGCTGGGGGTCGCTGCTTTCGCGGAATTTCCGGAGGTGGGTCTGGTTTTTTTTTTTTGTTCGGATTGATTGGCGTTTGATTGGTTCTTTTGGGTTTTTTTCTTTTTTGGTTGTTGGTGATTGGTAGATCTCGGAGTATGAAGTGATTGAGATCGCCGAGAACGTTTGTAATTTGAAGAAGGAGGAAGCTGATTGGATGCTCAAGATTGATATCGTCGAGCAAGGGGATAAATTGGAGGTATACACTATACAGTCGTTAATGCGGATGCTTGGTGTCCCTCGCTCTGCTGTTTATGCACGTTTCGGCATCAGATATCAGCATTATACATGTGGACACCGGAATAGCACCAGGACTAAAACTTAGTAGATGGACGAGATTATCTGTTGTCGTTCCTGAGAAATTTCCTTGAAGTGAGAGCTAAGGCTGCCGCGAAATAGAACTGCATTCTTCTGTGGGGCTTTGTTGGCACCTTGACGAAAAAAGCAGGCGAACAAATGCCTGAGTTAAGCGGGATTGACTGTAATAACAATTTATAAGGTGGTGGATGTTGCGTGTTAGGATTAGAGGTCATCCTGTCATTCGCATAGAGAGAAAGTGACATACCAGCTGGCGCGTTTTATTTCCTCTATGCTTTTCTATGTTCTTGCCAGTTTGTTTTAGTCGCGAGCTTCGTCATGAATGTGGCTAGTTCAACGAACAAATATAGTGCAAACAATGTTGATGTGCTTCTTTCTTTGCATGCCAAAATGTGGACTGAGAGAGTGTTGGACATAACAACAACATTTTCATCTCTGTTTCTTCTATTTCAGCTTGTAGACCAAGATACTGAAGGGATATGCAATTCCGAGTGCAAGACTATCGAAAGAGCTTGTCAAGAGGTTAGACTTTGGTGCTCTACCTACTCATTACTCAAGTCATCGTTTCATACAGAATCTTTGCTTTGGTGGCATCTTGTCAATCAAACTCAATCGACCTGTTTGGCCCATGTGATCTTGCACAAAAATTGTTTCCCTGTCCCTTGCCTTTTATATTGACGGAAGATATCTGGATGAACTTCCTTTGTTCTTTTCAGTAATTGGATTACTCTGAGTGGAAATTCATGCTACTGAAGCATTGGTGCTTTCACTTCTGAATCGCACTAGACACTAGACCAACATTAAAATTGTTCCCTCAACTCGAAAATGCAGGTCATGGGTTACTCTGATACTGATGTTGCTGAGTATTTATATAACTCAAAGCCCCAAATTGATTCACTGGTTGATTTTCTCTGTAAAGACCTCAGTAGAGCATGCAGTTCCAAGCCCCCTCCGGTTCCTAAGGTACATTTTTATCGTGCTTTTAGTACTTAATTTCATGGTTTTAGCTATTCGAACAAACACATTTTCGATGTTTTGCTCTTTTGTCTCTTGCTTTCCGTGTTAATCTTCTGGCTTAGCAAATGAAACAATATCATGTCGACATAATGTTCTACCTTTATTTGATAAATCACGTAGATAATTCAGACCTTTCAATATGAATGTCAATCACCTGAACAATTAGACTGAAGTTTCAGAGAGTCCAGTCTCACATATGTTAGTTCAGTGCAGAGAAGCAGTGGAGCTAAATCTATGGTACATAACTGAAGAACCACATTCTCATATATTCCATAACTATTCGCAAAAAATGGTGTGGTGATTTTAATAGAGTGAATGATCATCATTCTTGTGCAATTTTACTGCTCCCCAAGGGCGATGCGGTCATGAGATCGTTCTTAAGTTATAACTCCATCACGTGGAGACTAATAAGTTGAGGAATAAGGTGGGATGGGGATCTACGAGGAATTGACTGATTTTCATTCAAAGTGATAAGCAAGAACTCGTTCCGTTTCAATGAGGATTGAAGCGTTCCCCATAAAAATCTTATCATCATTTTATTTAATTTTTTAATTAAAATGGAAGGTGTCCGTTTTTTATTTAACAGAGACGTTTCGTATTTTATGCTCTCCTAAAATGGAGATCTCGTATGGCCCTTGATTGAAGCTTAGCCCGATTATGATAATTTTTTTATACTTTCCACAACTTATGTTCACATAGGAAATACATAACTAGCCAAACCTGCATATGTGTGATGACATTAGACTTTCATCCATACAAAAACCCGATTCTATCATCAGTTAGTTAGCAATGGCCATATATGGTTTAGATTTAGAACATTTTAAGTGGTGAGAAAGCAATGGAGTTAGCAGTATTCGAATAATCTCTTTTGAAAATGCAGAACTCCAGTGGTTTGGCTTATGTAGATGGTCGAACTCAAATAATATGGATGGATTTGTCCTTTTTGTCTAATACGTACTATCCCCTATTTGTTTGTCTTGCTCCTTACACGAACCATTCTGCTTTTCAAATGCCTTGTCAATGTCATTGCACATCATAAGATCACAAGGATATTTCACATACGTATGGTACTAGAGTGCACATTGACTCATGCTCCTCTCAAACAGTAATGATTAATCGATACCACTATCTTGGAGCTTATTCCAAAATATAGGACCTCTAGTTTGGTTTGCAAATTGATCCTTGAATAGGATTATACATATTAATCCTGAATATTGTGCAATAGGATAGGACTCCCGGAGAAGCTTTTATGCCCAAACCAGCTAAGGATGCTGAGATGGAGAAGATCATGAGATCGATGGAGGCAATCATTTTCTACAACCCTGAAGTCATACGCATTGTTTCACCTTTTTTACTATATTCAGACTTTATGCTGGTTATGTTCTCTACAGGGTATGCCGGGAGCACCCAACATGAAGATGTACTCCAGGGACGAATTGATGAACATGAAAAACTTAGGTGTGGAAGATGACGAAGAAGAAGACGAAGACGAGGATAGACACTTCCCCTCAAAATTGGTATGCAGATCTTTGAAAAAGTCCTCTTCCTTCTGCATCCCAAGAAAGACAATGTTTATGCTTATTATCTTGAACCATCTCTTTCCCAGGGAAAAGTTTTGAGAGAGAAGGAGAGCAGTAAGGGTGATTGGAAGCAGAAACTAAGAGAAGGCATCAAAACTACTGGGGAAGTATTAAAGAGACATGCAGACAAAGTCTCCTTCCGATTACAGAAATGGTGGAGAGGGATTAGAAGACCAGACTCGAAGAAAAATTCAAAGACTGGCAAGTCAGAACTCTAATGCCCGAATATCAGACCTTTGAAGAAAGCAATACTTGAGCCTCCAGGGTATAATCTTCATGTCCGGCTGGTGTATCGGTATATAATGTACAAGGCCCTTAAGAGCGGAAGATTCGAGTTGTTCCAAGAGGTTGAGAGCGCAGAACATGTTCTTTTCTTTCCCCTTAAAACTGCTTCGGTTTCCTTCGGTACTAAGATGGAACGAAAATGCGGAATTTTGATCTTGTTTCGACAGCCTCTTGAATCTTGAACATCTTTACACGTTTAGAGCTCCTCAGAGAATTGTGCAGTCACCAAAACTTGCGGTCACTCTGTTCTGTGTTTTCCACGATAGCTCTTTGCCATAGTAAAGTCCAGATTCCACGCAGGTGGAAGAGTTTTGAAAATTCCAACTATAATTTGCAAATTAGGTGCATCTTATCATGGTCTATATTCATCAATATATTTAATATTTTCGTTTAATATAAATGCTTTGTCAAGACTTTTTTTTTTCCGTTCTTCGCATTCGACAAGCACTTTCTTAAATTGTTTTTTTTATATAGAGAAATCTTTAGACAAGAACTTCTATGAATATATTAGCAAAATGTCTGATTTACCATATCTATGAATATATTCTGATAGCTTTGTCTATTGATTATCAAAGATGAAAATATTTTCTACTCACTTCTCCCGAAAGAATTTAATGGCTAACAAACTAATAAGTGGGAAGGGGCATTGTCCTTTTATCCATCTTCTGTCATAGTCTATTGTTGCTATAATTATTATGTTTCTTTATTCTGAGAAGGAAAGTAACCGTTTGCATTAACAAGAGAACTGCGGTACTAACTTTGACAATAGTGTATTTGTTTCGCGGAAAATGTATAATTTCTGAAAAATACTTTCCATAAAGTCATTTTCAGGAAAAAAAGTTAATTTTTCGATATTTGGTTAAAATCTAAATAAGCCGAGGCCGGAAGGAAGAAGGAACAAGAAAACAAAAGAAAAGAAAAAAAAAGAAAGAAAAAATAATAACAAATTCAAGATGATCAATTTCGGAAAGTGTTTTCACCTTTTTAGATTAAGGAATTCACTTTTCTAATTTTATACATGAATGTTTTCTTTGAACGGAAAGTATTTTCAATTGACTTATCATTTTCGGCAAACCAAACGGGTCAAAGTCAGGAAAACAGATTCTCATAATATACTTTCCCTCGAACAAACAAACGCAGCCCAAAACCAGGATTGTCCAGTTTTCTGTTATATATGTATGCTTTCCAGCAGAAACTAGCTTTCATCCTCAGCTAATAGCATCAAATTAGCCCAAGAATCAGAATCACTACCAACTTCGCAAAAAATGAAGACTTCTCGGTGCTCTTAGCTTTTGACTAATTCGAACACCCTATGCCGCACACTTACAACATGTGAGGAGACAGGTTTAAGGCTGTCAAAGTCTCCCAGACCAGCAATTGACCAATGTCACCATACAATTAGGTAAATCATCTGAGATTGTTGGTTTCTGTACATTTTCAAATAGACATTCTTTTAGGTCTAACTCTGTACCTTCCAGGCTTTTCCTATTGATCTTCACAAACAGCAGTATACTGTGATAGGTACTTGTTCAAAGGTAGGAGGAAGAAGGAATTGGTGCCTCCTTATATCATACCATAGTAAGCTCATTTACTACATAGCACATCTGCAACCGTCTTAGATAGGAGCTGTGTTGAGCATGGCATCTTAAGTTGGAGACTGTATATCAGTAGAGTGACTTGTCTTCATGTGGATTAGGCATAACACAAACAAAAAGTGAACTAGTTCTCACGTTCGAATATATGCTACAACCTATTACAACACAGGCAAAATTGCTTCTTAACAACTCAAGCACAAGTACCATTTTTTCTTGATGCATGGTGATTGTGATCTTTCTCTCTTTCATCCATCAACAAACTCGCCCAAAATAATCAGTAATCTATATTTGCCCAATCAAGAATCAAATATCTTGAGGTAAAACGTATATCAGAAAAGAGATGGATATTCACATACCGTGAAGATGAAATTGTACCCCATCTTAAGAATAGAACGCAAGAAATCAATCCTTCTCCACATCATCTTCAAATAATTAGGGGTCATGAAGTATGCTTCTTCGGAAAAATTAACTCCCTCAGTTGTTAGAGCGACATGGTAAGTATGCACAGCAACTCACCGTAGAAAGGCCTTCTCGTCCGAGACTATAATCACCAGATGTTTTAAGAGCCTGCGAGTTCCATCTCCTATTCTAAAGCTTTCCAGGAAGAGATCGAGGATGGAGTTGGGAGCAGCCCATGCTTCATTTAGATTTGTCAAAATAACAGTTCTGTCTTTCATTGCAGCATCCTTCAAAACTTCTTCGAGCCTGTATTTCTCGGAATACTAGATACGATAGTTTTACTGAGGAATAAAGCACATTTAAATCCGTCAGTGCACATGTAACAAAGTCACAGGACATAAGAAGAAAAAGAAAAGTGTACTAATTTTTTTATGAAAGCTCGTGTGGAACAGTGCTTGTTAGACTTTTGTCACAAGAGTTACTTCCATTTTGGCATTTCTCACATCAAGCTTATCAACACCTTCAGCATAACGAGATATGCTGAAAATGCGTCTATTGATGTTTGGGGAAAACAGAAGGTCGAGGTGACTATCGAGGAGCTCCAAAGAGTATGCACGCAACACTTCAAAAATTTAGCTGCCAAACTAACACTGAACTGCATCATTTCGCTATGAAGAGGAGCTAAAGGATGGACAACTTCAAGCAAGATCATCAACTAAATTGCTGTCCAGTTGGTGGGGAGCTAGATAGCAGCGTACTTCAACATCACTAGGTGAACTTCTGTTCAAGCAAGATTATCAACTTAATTTGCATCCCGATGTTCCTTCATCAGCCTTCTACATTTAGTACAGATATTGCTTAATCACATACGCCTGAACTTTGTGGCGTATAAAGCCACTTAATCCTATACTGACGCAATAAGAAAGAAGAGCTGCTAAAATATCCTCTACGTTATGCACTGACGATTCCAGTTGAATTCTTAAAAGCAGAATGTAGCTATTCACCACTGCGATCAGTTGAGTTAATTCTTTTTATAAAATAAAGTTTCATTAATAGGGAAAGCTGCTCAAGTACATCGCAATCAGTTCACTGATATTCATACTATTTCATTTCACAATCACAAACTGAAACGTTTGAATTGAAGAAGAAAAGCCTCTGCCAAATGCACTAACGTTTGAACTAAAACTGTGACAATGCATCCCAACAACGTTTGACTATCTCTTCTTTTTCCCGCCTTTGCCGGATTTCGAAGTTCCAGTACTTGTGGTGGACGCTGGCTCTTGCTTCTTGGTCCGTCCAGCATGTCTTGGAACCAGCTCTGCAACATGAAGCATGAGCTGTTTTCCTGCAACACATTGTTCAAAGTTACGACATCTGCACTATAACCATGAATAAGAATCTCCTAGACTAAAACCAGCAACAACCAGGACCTTCTCTTTTCGGAAATTAAAACTTCCTCAAAAAATGAACCACTAGGCATGATAGGCGATAAACTCCTCAACAAGACATACATTTGGCTGTGGCTAAGATAAACTACTCCTGTTCTGTTAAATCCATGTCAACAGCAAGAGCAACTCGCAGGCACTAGTGATGCAGAGCTCTGTGATGGTGTGCATATTCAGCACACCAATTCCGGACGAACCTATGTCCAGATCTAATGCAGAAGCTAATCAAACTTACTGGAAGATATGGCTGGATTGTACAGAGTCCCATCCTCTCTCTTGAGCAAAACCCTCACTCTCCCTCTCTGCATGAAATCTCGTGGATACGTCTTATCGATCTGCAACAATCCATTTCGACGTCTCTAAATCACACCAAAAACATTCCCGAGCATAATACGGAACAAGAAACGAAGCCACTATCAAATGAACCTTGATTGCAAAACGGAGCTTGAGACGGCTGCAACAGTCCCCGATCTCGATGCAAGTGGGGTTCTCGCATGCTTTCGTCACGCAGATCCGCCTGCCCTCGGCAATTGTCTTCTTCGGGTTGATGTAAACCGGGTAGAGGACGACCCACTTCTTTATGTTCGGGATTTGCTCTTCCATTTGTGACAATCGAGACCCCAGGCAAAGAAGAAATTTGAGTTATGAATCGCCTGAACAGATGGGAAGACAGTGAATCATCCGGATATCAAACAGGTGCATCATAGCAACATCACACCTCGCTTGTATCAGACAAAGAAACAGAGAACGTGTTCTAACTATTTCACGCACATACATAAACAGAGCAAGCGAGAGCACAAGCCTGATGCACCTATACAGAAAAACAAAGGAATCAGACAATAACAAAATTGAAAAGCGACATCACCAATATGTCGAAGACTTATCTGGCTACCTACTTTTGATGTGCAGTACCCTTCTGCTGCAATTCGTCTGATATGCTCTGTTCAATGCAGGTCACCACCCTTTGGCCAAAGAACCTGCAATGGAAATCACCCAAATCCTTCAGCTCGAAGAATGTCCCGATTGAGAAGTGTGCTGAATGAAGCATGTCGAGCACACAGCAGGCTATACTGTTAAAGAAGTTTGATCACGGGTCATTCAGCAAAGATGCATAATTAGAGAAACACGAAGACGCGGGCGACACGACCTACCATTTAGAATACGGTGAGCACAGTAAGCTTGATTATTGTGCAGATAACAGCCAGCTGATAGCTGCAGATTCACCGGAAAGCGACCAAGCAGACCGAGAGAATCGACTTCGACACGATGAATTGGGAGCAGAGTCAAGTTACCAGAAATCAGAAAACAATGCAGCAACACCCATCATCAGAAGCTTCATGAAATGATATGAAGTTCTAAACCTCTACCCAAGCTCCCACTAAACAGTGCTCTGCAATTTGCTAAATTCACGTCAATAACTACACCCAAAAAGCACGGGGAGTTGAAATCGTACGCCGAAATTTAAAAATGTAGCCGGAACAGATTGCAAACCAAATAATACACCGTAGGAATCAGAGGAAGAGAGTGGATTCGACCCGACATTTAAGCTTTTCCGGGAACTATCAGAACCGGAGAAGGAGGAGGAGAATTGGCGAAGGTATACCTCGGAAGACCGACACCAGGGCAGCACGAAGTCGGCGATAGCGGTGGAGGTGGCCGCGAATCAGATTCAAAGGTGTTATTAAAGGAAATTCCAATGGTCTTCCTTTCACGTTCCTAGAATAACATTTTTTGAATTTACCTAAGGGAGCGGGTAGTGTAATTCCTAAAGTCTTCCTCTTAGCTTTTTTTGGGTTTGTTGTCTTTCCCTACCATGGATCCCTTAGTAATAATCTACATTGTCACTCAAGTATGCATATTCAAGAAGTTCTCCAACATGATTTTAGGCAAAACCTTCATATCACTCAAAAAATTCAAGAAAAAAGGGTAGGTCCTCTTAGAGCACCTATATGTTTACTTCAAATTTTGTTAGTTTCCTATCTTAAGGAATTTAGACTAGATATGAAAATCCTAAATGTCAACAAAGAGCGTCATCCTATTTTACTTTTCTGAGATGAGGAAAAATTCTTCTCATATTAGTCATTCTCCGTATGATTCAAGTTTTTGAAGAAAGTTGAATCCTATGGCATGTTCGTTGGTTAGAAATTCTGAGGTGCGCCTCACTAACAGGCTTGACAACCCGATCCCACTCTTGGGACTAATGGGGTCTACATCACATTACCTTTTAAGGGTAGTCCGTGTGATGCCAGAGAGAGTTTAGAGAAGTAGGAGGTAACACAAATGATAACTTAAATGGATAGGTCGTTCACCATTCGTAGGTAATTAGTAAGAGCAATACTCACCACCCGTAAGAATCCACCTAAGGAATAAGAGCAAAATAAAAATCAAAACCTGTAGCTTGCAAGGAAGGAGATTTCGTTTGGCTACATCTTAGAAAGGAAAGATTTCCTCGGGGTCGTCACTGGAAGCTGAAGCCTAGGGCCGATGATGGACCTTTCAAAGTGTTGCAAAGGATTGGTGATAACACCTACAAGATTGAATTGCCTGGTGAGTATGCTGTTTTAGCAATGTTCAATGTTGTGGATCTTTCTTCCTACCATGACAACGAGTTCGAATTGAGAATATATGAAATTTTCCTATGTGTGGGTGAATATCTTTGGAGAGTGGATAACTCCTAACCCGGCATTTGTATCCTTGAAAGGTGGATTCTTCCTTGTGGTAAGCCAAAGAAGCACTGTATCCTCGGCTGGCGAAATTCTCTAGGTCTTGGTAGTGAGCTTCTCCTTTCCCGAAATCTTGTATCCTCGGCTGGTGATTTTGTGTAGGCCTTCATGGTAAACTTCGTCAATCCTAATTGTGATTCTTGGTTGGTGGCACGTCTTATATACCTTGGTTCTGGTCATATTTTATCATACTTCTATCCCATCATATATCGACACCCATTCTAAAACACTATGATTCCGTTGACATCACTCAAAACGACATTCGCCCATCTTGCAACCACATCGAATTGGTATTAAAGCTCAAGGTTGAACCCATTTGAGTGATTCCTTCTGTAACCTAACTTGCATTCCATTCATACTTCTACTAACAAACAAAAAAAAAGAAAGAAAGAAAGAAAGAAATGACTAGTTGTCATCAATGTGGACCAAATGTTGAGTCTCCTGTGGCGCGAAAAAGAAGCCTACGAGACGTGGAGTTGGTTGATTTAAGGAGACAGTTGCAGCAAGTGCAAGGGTGTTTGCTATGCTTCGAACTCCGACAAATGGAACAGAAATGAGAAGTTAAAATATTCTACTTTTCTATTTCTGGAATGGAAACAGAAATAATAACTCTTTTTTATTGCTCACCCTTGCCATCCATCGCTTGCCGTCCACCGCCGCCTGTCGTCATCACCCGCCGCTGCCGCTCGCCGGCCACCCGCCGTCGCCGCCGCCCATTGCCGGCCGCTCACCACCCGCCTGCCGCCGCCGTGGTTGCTCACCGGCCGGCGGAAATAGAAATTTTGTGTCATTATCAAATGAATTTCTATTCCGGGAATAGAATATTGTGTTGTTATCATACGCTACTTTTTGCTCAAAAACTCGTCAGGGAAAAAGAATTTTTTTTCTCAGAAACTAGCTAGAAATAAGGCCGAGGAAGAGAAATATTTTCATTCGCGCCCTTAGATGCCATCACGCAACTATATTATTATGGATGGTGAATATTCAGATAAATATGTTGAGGCACAACAAAGTTTCGAACTCCTTAAAAGGAATGTAACTGAGGCTCCTATTCTTGCACTTTCCGATTTTAATAATGTCTTTGAAGTTGATTGTGATGCTTCTAATGTGGGAATTGGTTCGGTTCTTAGCTAATGAGGAAAGCCTATTGCATTCTTTAGTGAGAAGTTGAATAATTCCCGCGAGAAAAACTCTACTTACGATAAGGAATTTTATGCTATTGTTAGAGCTTTGGAGCATTGGCAACATTATCTATTGTTCAAAGAGTTTGTTCTCTATTTGGATCATGAAGCCCATGGTGGAGGTTTAGCCGGCCATTTTGGAAGAGACAAGACCCTCTATCTTGTCAAAGAAAAACTTAATTGGCCTCGAATGAAGAAAGATGTTATGTGGAGCGATGCTGAACTTGTCACATTGCCAAAAGCCATTCTCAAAACATAATGGCTTGTAAACTCCATTACCGGTACCAATAGCCTCTTGGGAAAATGTGAGCCTAGATTTTGTAGTTGGTTTACCTCGGACACAAAGGGGCAAAGACTTAATTATGGTGATCGTTGATCGGTTCTAAAAAATGGCGCATTTTGTTCCATGTAACAGGACTTTGGATGCTACACATGCGACAAATCTTTACTTTCAAGAGATCGTGAAACTATGTGGTATTCCAAAGACAATGATGTCTGATCGGGATTCAAACTTTGTCAGTCATTTTTTACGCACATTTTGGAAGAAGTTAGGCACCACACTTCAATTTAGCTCATCTGATCGTCCTCAAACCGATGGGGCAAACTGAAGTTCTTAATTGGAGTTTGGGAAATCTTTTAAGGAGTTTAATTGGAAGTAACCTACGTCAATGGGATCTTACTCTGACTCAAGCTGAATTTGCTTACAACCGTTCTTCAAGCTAAACAATCGAGAGGAGTCCTTTCGAGATTGTATATGGGAAAAATCCTATTAGTCCATTAGACTTAGCTCCACTTCCCATCTCTCAATATTTTAGCGGGGATGCTGAGGAACATGCCAACTATCTAAAGAAGCTTCATAAGCAAATTTGGGAAAGAATAATAAAGAACAATGCGAAGTATCAAGAAAGAGCAAATAAGCATCAAAAGCCTACAGCTTTTAACGAAGGAGATTTGGTTTGGCAATATTTTAGAAGGAAAGATTTCCTTGGGGTCATCACGGGAAGCTGAAGCCTAGGGCTGATGGACCTTTTAAAGTGCTGCAAAGGATTGGTGACAATGCCTACAAGATTGAACTCCCTAGTGAGTATGATGTTTCAGCAACGTTCAATGTTGTGGATCTTTCTCCCTACCTTGACGATGAATTTGAATGTTGAGAATATATGAGATTCTCCTCTGTATGAGTGAATATTTTTGGAGAGTAGATAACTCCTAACTTGACATCTATATCCTTGGAAGGTGGATTCTTCCTTGGTGGTGAGCCAAAAAAGCATTGTATTATCGGCTGATGATATACTATAGGCCTTGGTGGTGAGCTTCTCCTATCCTAAAGTCCTGTATTCTCGGCTTGTAATTTTATGTAGGCATTGGTTCTCGTCGTATTTTATCCTACTTCTATCCCATCATCCATCGACACCCATTCTAAAACACTCTGATTCTATTGACATCACTCAAAGCGACATTCGCTCATATCGCGACCTTTGCCCATCTTGCAGCCGCATCATCATGAATATTGTACGTTTCAAAAGATTCCACCATCCCTCAAGCTGTGGTTATATTGTTTTAACTATTACAAAGAAGTTGTCCAAAAGGACCTCATTGGGGAAGGAAACGGTCAAAGGAATCATCAACATGTGGTGGGATTTCCATCCAACACTATCCTCATGATCGACAAATTGGAGTTATAAGGAGATACGAAGACACACCATGCATCGATGGATTAGATACATCGTAGCATTGAACCTGAGCTCAAGATTAGCATTCTCAACATCCTCAAGAAGCTGACTCAACAACAAGTCATATCTGATTGAGCTTTTAGGGAAATGGATGAAGTTTTAGCCGAAGTAGAACGTTTGACCCAAGAAATGAAACGTATTCGTCGGATGCTTTAAGCCATTTGAGGATTAGACGTATTCCATTAGAATTTCTTTTTCTATGAATTTCCAAATCTTTAAACTTGATCTATAGGGATTTTCTTATAAGCATTTTCAGTAATGATGTATAGGAATTTCGTTTCACTTCTTAGAGGATGTATAGGGAATTTCTCCACAAATTTTGATGTGAATAGTGAAGTTTCTTTTTTCATATGTTTTCCAAGGGTTCTAATGGAATATAAAAAGGGCATTTTGAGTAATTACCAAATGTTATCTCTTCAATTGTATAATTTTTTATGCAGAAATATTGATAAGCAATCATTCATATGAGATTGGGATCATATGAATATCTCTTATCTCCATTTCATTGCAAGAAAATATAAAATATACTAGCTCGACTGAAAGGATAGAGGCATGCGGGAGAGTTTGGGTAGAGAGAAAAAGTATGGACAGAATGAAGAGAGAAGTGTCTATAAAAAGAGGCATTTTGGAGAATACAAATGGGATCTTGGACGCCTCCTTTAGCTGCCAACACCCTCCAAATCTGGTAAATATTAATGAATAACTCTCTCTCTCTCTCTCTCTCTCTCTCTCTCTCTCTCTCTCTCTCTCTCTCTCTCTCTCTCTCTCTTCTTACATACAAGAAAATCCCGTGTTTGCAATCGAAATTGTGCTGAAGGTTCCATTGCAGAGTGTAATTTGACAGAGGAACCTTCGAAGTTTTGTTCCCAATTATTTAAATGGCGATGAGGAAAGCATTAGTGGATCAGTGCAGAATGATGGAGACATTTGTTTTGTGGAACTGAGGTTATTTAAAATCTCACAATGGGTGATCCAATAGAAAATGATGAACTGGCACTGTCACGACTTTTCCAGAGGTGAACCATCAGGGGATGGCTAGTGGTTCACTAAGCTTGATGCTCAGCACGGACTCTCCCAAGCTCTACAAATCGTAACTTGGTACTCGATTCAATCATTATAAAGCCTTTTGGAGCAACCACTGATTGGTT